ATTAACTCTATCCCAGCCGAAACCAGGACAGCCCCCCTGCTGACCCCGCATCAGGGGACCTCTGCTCTCCCAGCCATGCTGTCCTCAAGCCGTGACTCCTTCGGCATCGCCCCGTAACCCCCCCTTTCCACATTTGGGGTCATTTGGGGTGCCTGGCCAGGCTCGTGCGCCAGGGGTTTGAGGCAGCTGAGGTTGGAACCATCGAGAGTCTGCGAAATCCGTGTTCTTTCTCAGTGCCAGGGTGGTATTTTGGGAATGGGGTCACATGGGAGCAGGCACCGGCTGCGTCCTCTGAAGCGCCGTCTGTCCCGAGCCAGATTTTGCAGCGCAGCCCGCGTGCTTGCTCACCCCCCGCCGCCTGCAGGCATTACCCGAGCCCCCGGGCAAGGATGTGCCAGCACAAACCGGCAGCCGGGGCCGGGCTCCTGTCGGGCACACTGACCTCCAAAAGGGGTCATCTCGGGGAAAGGGCTGGGACTGTCTCTCTCCTGACGGAGCCGGGTATTTTTATACTGCACGTCCTTGGAGCTTGTCTGTTTGCATTACTGCCGGGAAGCGATAGCTACAGAAACGGGGAAATAGCTGGGGGAAAGGAGCAGGAGGTCACTCCCAATTTGCGGCTTTACTTTCAGGCCTCTCCACTCAATTATCTCACAAATTGGGCTCCGAGGAGAATCAACACGAGCCGCCATCAGGTACGAGAGCAGCAGCGCCGTGAGCTCCATGACGGGGTCGCACTTGAAAGCTCTCCAGCCTCGCTGCAGCTAACGCTGCCGGCTGTTTGCCGCGGCTCCCGGCCCCGGCTTGGAAACCCCCTCGCTGCGCAGTGTCGGCGCGGGCGTTCCTCCTCCCCGGGACTCCTCGGTGTCCGTAGCCAAAAGCGGGAGCGTGCAGGAGGCCATGGCTCGTTGTGCACCGCAGCGGCTTCCCCTGAGCCGGGCCAGGGACCGCTCCGTGTCCCAAAGCCTGGGCTTTAGGATGTTTGTGGTTATTTAAGGTGTTTTGCTGCAGCTGCCCTACTCAGCTCGCTCTGTGCTCAAGCAGAGGGATCCGTATAGAAATCCCGTCCGGCATCCACGTGCCCTTCACTGTATCTTGCACAAAAACTCACGACGACAAAACCCACTGGAGCTCCAGTTGCTTCTTTACAACATCTTGGTGCTTTGCAAAAAGAGAAGGAGGGACGGTCTGGGGGCTTAGAGGGAAGTCACTGAAAAATAGGGAGGTCGGGTGAAGCCTGGGCTTTGGAAGCGGTGGGGAGTGCTGGGGAGATCGCCCAGGTTTGGTGGAGCTTCTGCACAGCCTGTGTCCCGGTGCTGTCACGTCCCGGCCAGCCCGGAGCAGGAGCACCACGGGCAGGGCTGTCACCTCCCTGCCCTGGCACGGAGCAGGAGCGCAGGCAGGGCTGTCCCCCCCAGCCCTGGCCCGGGCGTGCAGAG